AAGGACTCGTGCTGGGGAAGGACTGTCTCCTGCTGGGGGGAGGAGGCAGCAGAGCTGAGCCCAGGAAGAAGGTAGGGCTGGGGGAGAAGGTGTTTTTAAGACCTGGTTGTATTTCTCATTATCCTTGGTGGTCTAAATTAAATTGATGTTGTTTTCCCCAAGTTGAGTCTGTCTTTGCCCGTGCCCACAGCTGGTGAGTGAGCCCTCCCTGTCCTGGGTCTCAACCCTCAGGCCTTCTGGTTGTATTTTCTTCTCCCCACCCCTCAGGGGACGGGGTAGGGGTGAGTGAGCGGCTGCAGGTGCTTTGCTGCTGGCTGGGCGGGCTCAAACCATCACACCTGCAAATAATGCTGCTAATTCAGACTCTCAGGCACACAGCTACAAATTAAACCATGTCCTGCCATTTATACACCATTCTTGTGCTTGTCTTCGTTCACTGATACATCTGCATGAGCACTTTAGAACTGATAGGGTCCACACTGCACAAAAAAAAGAAAAGGAAAAAAAATAGATAGAAATGCTGTCCAAAATAACAAACATAAACCCTTAAAAATAAAGTAAATTATTTCAATGGGAATAAAGTGCTGGCATAAATATGAAGCTGTAATGAGAAAAGCCAGAGCAGGACAACTACAGAAGGGAAATATTTTTTTGCCCCACGTGCACAGCAGCACAAAACTATTTTTATAGCAGAGTATCATTAAAAGGGAATGAGTTAGAAGGAAGTGTTGTATATACACCTCGCAGATTTACTGAGACAGTCAGGTGTACACCCATTTTTCTTGTTACGCTCAGGAAAGAATATTCCAGACTAAGGCATCACTAGGTCTACAGTTTAGCACTGTATTTTTGCTAGGAACATGTCTCCTAACAAAAAGAACTAATAACCACACACACTCAGTAAAAGGTCCTGCATCGCAGTAGTACAGACAGGTGAGCACAAAGTCATCTTACCAGACAAATACATTAATGCTATTTTCATCAAGTAAAACTGTCTCTGTTTATCCCATACCCGGGGCTAAACTCCAACAGTCCCTCCA